TGTCATTGTGCTTGTGCGTTGGAAGTGAGTATATTCTGGCAAACTCACTCACAAGTGTTGGTGTACATATCTCATCACTCCCAAGGCATAGCAGCATCATCGTGCTTTCAACGACTTTACCATATGGCATACGTTTGCGAATAGCGTAATGAACGTTGTCAGTTTGACTTGACTCAATGTCAATAATTTGCGAGTTGGGAATCCATTCAAGTTTATATGCACTTTCTAAGGAGGATTGTATCAAATTATCGATTGCAGACGACATAGTTTGAATAAAAAAGTTTTTCAAGTATGCTTGTAGTAATAGTAATTCTTGACAATTATTGTGTTACATCGCACATTTGGTTAGTTCATCAAAATTGTTAATCTTTATTACTAGCACCCGCTAAAGCTTTGTTTTAACAGTATAATCAAATTTGATGTGAATGTTGGTGTGAGCTGAGCGAATGTTACCAAAGAAAGTTACTTAGCTAGGCTAGGAACTCACGTTGTCATGCTCACCATGCGAATTAGCATAACAATTTGCGTTTGGTTCAGTCTTTTTCCGTGATAATCACCTTGGTGTCATTTCTACTTTTAAAGTGACACGCGTTCATTAACGACATCAATTGTAGTCTCTTCCATATTTTTACTAAAGAATCTCGCTCTGCCATTTTCTTTCCTCATTTATCTCCTCCCTTTCTTACGCAGAATGCTGACACACATGTGTTGATTGTAGTATACTAGTTGATTGTACCAATCGTCAAATAGGCATCGTTTATATTTATGATGGAGATTCTTCCAAACATTTCAACAAGAGATGTAGCAAGTTCTTTACGGGGCTTTACGTAACGACCAAGCTGTTTTGAAAATTATCGCAAAGATTGCAACTGAGGACAAGAATTAACGACAAAGTGGGAGGAAGAACGTGCGTGAGACGCCAGCTGGATCTCAAGTAGATCTTTACGAGCAGTCGTCCGGTGACCATTGTTTATGGAGTACTGAGTTTTCTTGACTCTGGACGGTGTGCGGTCTATTATGCCAGTATTCGGCGATTGACCAGTTGTTGTATCGGCAGCTGTATCAATGATAACTTGTGCATTGTAATTCCTACGCCTCTGAATCAATTTCGACAGATTGGTTTATGTCATTATCTGCAACTCTTAATGCTTTGTGCAAGTCCTCCTCTCTCTGCAACCCTGAAGATGCTTGCGATATCAAACTACGTACGTATATAGCTTTTAGTTGCTGACTAATATCTCATCTTGGAACTGGATTTCGGTAGTTCGAGTCTCGTTTCGAGAATCTCTTTTTTGCCGGAATAGTTGCTAAATATATACAGTATAATCTATAAGAGAGCGATTTAATTCTCTAGTGTCATTCTAATCCGATGCAAAAACCATAAGTTGTTTTTGAAAGTGATCGTTTTACCTTGCGCAAGTTTCTGAATACACGGTAGTACAGTAAATACGGAGTAGTAAAAGAGTAGTTCGTTTGATTATATTGTTAAAACGATAAGCGACATCTAGTCAATCGATTTGGGTCAGAACATACATCAAATATTACCCTATCGCAATTTTATATAGATACGTGACTTTTTATATCCATTCGCACACTGTGAACAATAACCAGATTGGTGAAGCAATTATTGACGTTATTTTTACAATTATTATCTTTATTTCAAAGAGAAATATTGTTTTGTACCAATATTAATCCCGAGATTCTGATTATTTCGTCTTGCATGCTTGCCCTCTCTATTAAACCTCTTATTGTATATTTTATAAATACGTCGACTAAATTCCGGTTTATCACGTGAATATCCTCTCTATTACAATTAGCGTTAGACTATTTTAAATAAATATGTTAAATTGTTTGTTTGTTTTGATCCAGAGTGCTGCTATACCCAATCAAAGATTATTTTGTTGTTTAAAAGCGTCCCATGCTTCATTCAGTGTAGCAAACACGCCATTGGCAATAAGTCTCTGCTCAACCGTAGTCGATGAACTCAACTACAAAATAAAATAAAATAAAATACATTACCAATCAACGGAGATGTAATAAATTATCGTAATAAACAATGTTATTGCAAACAATTAATTACCTTGTCCGGATGAACTTTAGCAATAGCCTTCATATACTTGACTTTAACTTGCGCGGACGTAACCAATTCTTGCAAGCCAATCTTCTTCCATTCCAACCCCTCCCACAATACTATATCAATACTTCCAAGTAATGCTCTTAAATTATCCTCTTTCCCAGCTTTCCACATCACCAACTTGCTATCCACAATGTCCTTTACACGGAATTTCTCAGTATCATCGCGTTCTTCTTGTTGTCTCTGATGTCGAAGTTTTTGAACAGCTGGACTCGAATTGTCTGCTGAAACATTACTAGACGAAAAGGCTATTGTACTAAATGGGTTACCAGTCTCTACGAAACCAAAGGCATTAAGTTCCGTACCAAAAGTATTATTCGTGTTCACAGGCGCAAAAAGATCTGTCAAGGCGGCTTGAGAAGGATTGGGCGACTGAGAACGCGATAATGAGCTAGTGGATGACGATGGAGGCTTTCCAACATTGTCCATGTCACCCGAGAACATTTTAACAGCTTTCTGACAACGGCGAAGGCCATCATTTATTGTCTTACTGTTGGTCGTATCAGATTTGAGTAGTTTTTCATAATCATCACGAGCATGGGTGTACTTTTCCATTGCTTCGTATGAGGCCGCTCGGCGAAGTAAAGCTTTTGCATACTGGTCTTTGAGATTTATATCTATTCCAGGTGGAGGCGGATTATCATAATCATCTCCTATCAATTGCATTACGCGTGAACAATCCTCCATACATCCGCGATGATCCCCATTCTTTAATCGGGATGCGGCTCTATTGTTATACGACATGACTATGTACAAATGATTTGATGGTAGTGAATCGATTGCACTCGAATAACTTTGTTCGGCTGCCCCAAACTGTCCCAATCTGAAAAATTCATTTCCTTTGTTCCTGTGACTTTCACATGATCGTAATTGTTCTGGTGTAGCATGCACAACAGGCCGTGGAGGATATTTGGGTTTATTCGATACAGTTGGAGGGGTGGATCTTGAGCGAGTAAACGACTGTGGTGGAACTTTTAGAGTAGAGGACGTGTTTTGAGGAGTGCGATGTCGGGCCGGCGATACGTAAGCTTTGTCTGAGGAAAGCGGGCTGGGTTTTGTGGGTTTTGGTTGGAGTATACGCTTTGATTGTGCAGGCGGTTGTCTAGCAGGCTGTCTACGTCTTCCCGACGGGATCTCATCGTCACTGCTATCTTTAAACCTTGAATTTTCGCGAGCGGACTTGTATGACACAGGCGTCTCATCCTCACTGCTATCATCATCGGAACTGTCTCGGAAGCTTCCGAATGCAGAATACTTCTCGTCATCCCGCACATCTGAATCACGGCGCGTTGCGTTGTCTTGTAACCATTTCGGTTTTCTGTTACCCACTTCTGCCTCTTGTTGCTGTTGCTGTTGAAAGTCTTCTATAGCTTTGTTAACTTTTCCCTTTGATGTCCGATAAAAAGCACTAGCCATTTTGAATGCAGAGGATCCTAGTTCGCTTGCAGTCGATAGTAATTTCTCTCTTTGTTGCTGAAAATTAGCATTCGAAAATGATGACATGGAAGAAGAAGAAGATAGGTCACTGCTCTCTCCATCAGAACTATTTTTGTTAAGTGAACGTGATTTCGTCATGTGCAAGTTTCTATTCTTGAGACGGTCCGGCCGCGGTCCTAATACAGGATCATCCTCACTATCATAATCTGTTGAGAATTCCTTCGGTTGCGGATACTTCGAGCTCTCCTTGGTCTTTTTGTGCCCGAGAGCAGCTTCTGCTTCCCGTTGTTGTACGAGAATTTCCACGGCTGACGATACATCTACTCCGGTAGCCGTAGCAGCTAATGCATTCTGAGCTTCCGTAGCAGTAAAACCCATATCCACTATCTGTGCAATCAAATGATCGTTTGATTCCTTTGAGGGTTTTTCCACCAAACGAGGTTTATCTTTTTTTGCCTATACCATTTAGAGAGCAAAACGTGATTAGAGTACGTAAATACACACACCGCACACACCAGACACACGCAATAAAACATTCCATTCACATACAGTAGATCTTGCGGGTTTAGGCGGTGGCGGTTTCCCGGTCTTATGCGTCGTCGAAGACGATGAAAGCCCAGGCAGGAGATCAAAATCGTCATTTACTGCTTGCGGCTTTACTACTTGTTGAGGAGTGGGTTGAGGACTGGATGCCTGTACTGGTTTAGGTAAATCGTCGAATTCTAAATCAAGCAAGAGATTGGCGCTCGGCGAAGCAGAGAGCTTTATGTGAATAAAAGAAATATTGCCGATGGCTTAGAATTTCTATATGTCATAGAACGGACGCAAAACATGATGTATCATAGTATAGAACTCACAGCTGGCGAGATGTTTGTTGTTGGATTCGGTGAAAGACCTGGGAGTAAGTCTAGATCCCACAAATCACCCTTCACTGGTTGTGGTTGGGGAGAAGTTTGTGTCTTTCTATCGCAAAAAGCATCATTGTTAGAAACCTAATAATACGTTTGTTCGGATCAACTTTTACACTTACAATTCATTTAGCGTCTGCGTTCTTTGAGGCTGGGTTCCGACATTCCCTAGAATATCCCCAAGCGAATCAAGATTAGACTGAATTTTCGCTTTTGATATAGAGTTTGTGCTGGTTGTCTTTGTCGTATTGGGTGAAGGACCACGGTTTATACTGTTGCCTAAAGAGGTTGTGGATGTGGTTCTTGATAATGAGGGTGTTGATAACGAAGACGTTGTTCCTCTTAGAGAATTCAAAGAGGCTTGCTGCTGTTGCTGTTGAACGGGGGGAGGCTTTACACCAGTGGAACTCCAAATCAAATCGCCAAGATCGTCCATTGTGAAGTTTGATAGCAACTACAATAAACTAGTACAAATTTAATAGACAAACAGTCAAAGGGAAAATCGACAATTTCCAAATCTGGCATCTGTCTGTTACTGTGACACAACCCGTAATAGAATAAAAAGTAATGGCTCCCAATATCGGAATTTGTATCAAAATTTGGGATTGCACTTGTACAGGCTTTAAATATAAGCTTAAATTGATATGATAAGCGTGTTGCTGATTCTCGAACATAGGAGGACTTACGTTATCATCGTTAATACTAAAAACACTTCTGCTGTTTTATTGCTACAACATCAAAAGTTGCGTTACTGCAATTTTTTGTAATATGGACAAACAATCAACGCTCGGAATATTGACAATTTCCAAATTAGGTGAATGACCGAATATCAATTCCCAAGCTGATTGTATGTTTTCTGATTTAACCATGTAGAACAAAATTGCGCCGGAATAATATGCTGCTATCCGAATACTTTCAAAATTCGTGGGCAGCAATGCCACATGCTTTGTACGCGTTAATGTTATTTAATATTAAGCCAATTTCTATAAATACCATCGAGTTTACAATCACCACGTTCAACACATTTGATGATAATGGGAAGGTTAGGACAGTAATGTCAATTATTCACGCGGTAAAAAGATCTAAATAGCGGGTATATAGCAACTCTGTACTGTACCTTTTCAAAATCTGTACTGTACTGCTGTGCTAAATACAATATGAATAAGCACTGTAGTACGGTATGTCTATCATTTCCTCAATAAGAAGTATATAATCGCATACTCATCATTGCATCGTACTTTTTACCTTAATGGATGTTGCTGGAATAACTAATACAAACACTACCACTATCGCAAGTCTAAGAACAAACACTTCAGAGGAGGCAAGAGTCTTTAAACTGAGTGTAGCGTGTCCTAAGTAAAATATTAAAATGTATAGCAATAACAAAATGCTTGATTTCACCATTGAATTCTTTTGTGGGCTCTGCTCCATTATAAGACCTACACTACCCTCCCAAAAGTATCCGGTCGAGTTTTTTTTTTTTTTTTTTTTTTTTTTTTTTTTTTTTTTTTTTCTTCTTCCTCAAGATTCTACATATTAATTAGCGAGATTTTTTTTGTCTTAATTAATCTCTTTGCTTCTGATGATTGGTTTCCTACTTTGAAAGCTGTTAATTACATGTATTTTGTGTATTGCCATAAATAAATCATTTTTTTTTTCGCACAGCGAAAGGATGGATTATCCAGAAAAGGATTAGAGTGTTTCCTGATTGGCCCTCTCAATCTCCAGACTTTAATCCTATTGATCTGAACTTAAACGAAAAGTTAAACAACGTTCTGTGCATCCAAAAAAATTTGCAACGAACTTGAAAAGAAGAATGACCGAAAATTATGCCTCAAACGTATATTAATCTAATAGAAAGCATGCAAAATAGAATTGAGACCTGAAAAAAAAGTAATACAGATGCTGCAAAAAGCGGTAAATACTCAAAACCGTTTACTGAAATTCTTTATCAAGAGCATTAGAGTTGAAAAACAATTCGAGATTAGTCTGCCAAAACGATGTAACTTGCAGATTTCTCACCATTTTGGTACATTGTCTTCAAGATCAGGATATTGGACAGCTCTTGATCTTTTGGTATTAGAGACATTTTCACATTCCTTAATGTTATTTTGCTTCAGTAAACGTCCAACAGTTGTTGGGCTGATGTCTAAGTTAAATGTTGTCTTAACCCATTGAGCAACATTTACATGGGTAGCATTGGGGTTCTTGTCTTTGTACTTGATTTTGTGTGTCCTTTATTAAGCACAGCCAAGGTGGACCTCTAGAGCTGTTTTTATCACATCGTAAGATTACATGTTTGAGCCTAACAGGAACTGGGTGCTATCTACCTAAAAGGAAAAAAGGAAGTTCTGAGCGACTCGACTCCTAGTGAGTGCTACTACCCAGCAAAAACCACATTATATAAATCGTCCTAAAGGGATAAATAAATAGATGATATTACAAGTTTAGAACAATTATTAGTACGGTGCTTCTACACTGGTAAAACAGTGGGGGGGTTATTATTTGGTTATTTTCTTTTTTTATTTCTTCTCAATCTCGAGGTGGTAGGAGGAGAGCGACTAGAGCAGTGGAAATAACATAATTATGTTATTTCCACTTAGTTATTATTATCACAATGTACACAAAATGGTTCTACACGCTTCCACTTGCTAACACCTGATTATATCGTCTCGCTTTAAGGTGCGAAAAAACCGTCAAGATGTAATTGTCACTTACTTTGTATTTCAAGTACTTTAATCATTTTCTAAGATTGACTACAAGGTGGTGAATGATATCAAATTTTGTCTAATAAAAATATTATTGGTTAATGCAAGCGAAACTGGGCTTTCATCCTCGTATTCTTCACACGATTCTGGTGTTTCAATGCCTGTGACAATTTCTATAACGTCTTCATCAGTTGGTTTTCTCCAAGTAAATGATTATCTATCTCGGCAATCTTCAATTCTTTCTTTTGTCTTTTTGGCTTACGGTTTATTATGAAAATGAATTCAAAGAGAGAATTGAGTTTTATAAGCTGATGAGATTCTTCGGATTAACGAGGAATTTTTATATGACAAGTTTTTCGCAACTGCCTTCGGATTGCGGATTACAGAGATTTATTATAAAAATTCGGATAAACGAGGTAAATTTCTTATTAATAAATTGGGACCAGAATATTTCTTCGGATTAACAAGGTTCGGATTAACGAAGTTGACTATGTATATGGATGCAAACCGATCTCAATTTGTAGATGTAAGATTTATTTATATGCGTAATAAGATCAAAATTGTAGGCGCCTTTACTTCCTACTCTTAATCATATTAATATATTAAAACTCGCTTTGTTAAAATTAATGGTATATTAAATAAATTAGTACTATGTTTCTAATTGTCTGTTGTCTGTTATTTATTGTGTATCACTTTTTTTCTTTGATCAGTCTTAGATAAACTTTTACTTGGGCGTGAGCAAATTGATTTCGCTCATGTTTAAAGACATGTTATATCAAAAGTATATTGACTTACCTTGTCCCTAGTTAGCCTTAGCTCGACCCTAGTTGAAATTTTACTAGGACCACTACTAGGTCCAGCTTTTTGACTTTCTGGAGCTGCTTGATTTCTTTCTTTTATCTTTGTCCCCTTAGTGTCCCTAGTAACCCTAGGAAAAATAAGATTCTAGAAAAAAAATCATTACTTCATGATATCATATTGCTCATCATTAAGATATCTATATACATGGCTTATTGGTAGTAAATTACCCCACTGTATGACTTGTTAACCAGTGAAGTAATTTTATTTATGGAAACACAAAAAACATCTCCCATAATCCATAATCCTTCCAAATGTTTCTACAGCACGTACAAAAGACAAGGGATCCCCCTAGCACTGGGAGAGTAGTCATTGGCTGCTTTACACCATAGACAACAACATTTATACTTATAAGGTTAAAGCACCTTACAATCCTTCCAAATGTTTCTACAGCATGTACAGAAGACAAGGGATCCCCCTAGCACTGGTAGAGTAGTCATTGGCTGC